CAATCTGTGTAGGGATTTGCTCCGAGGTGGGTCTCTTATAGGCAGCATATGCGTGGGTCATGTTTTCTTATCCATTCAGATATCCTGTGTCTTTTGATTGGGGTATTTAATCCCTTTACATTGAGAGTTATTACTGATAGAAACTTATTCATTTTTTTTCTCTGTACCTGTGTTTTTCTCTTTTTCACTCTTTTCTTTCATCTTCTTAAACCAGTTCCTTTATTTTTTTTAATTTTATGTTAATTTATTTTTTTCAAATACATTTGTCTCTGCCTACCCCCCATCCCTTTCCCTTAGCCTATTTTGTTGTGTTGGTTTGGTAGAGATGTATTCTTTAGACTTCTTTGGTCTGGGAAACTCCTTATTTCACCTTCCATTTTAATTGAGAACCTTGCTGGGTAGAGCAGCCTTGGCTGTAGGCCCTTTCTTTCCATGACTTGGAATATTTGTTGCCATTCCCTTCTGGCTTGCAGTGTTTCTGTTGAGAAGTCAGCTCTTAGTCGTATTGGGTCCCCCTTGTATGTGACTTTCTCCTTCTCCCTTGCTACCTTGAGGATTCTCTCTTTGTCTTTGATAGTTGCCATTTTAATGATGATGTGTCTTGGAGTGGACCTCCTTGAGTTCCTCTTGATTGGGGCCTCTTGTGCCTCCTGGATTCATGAGATCTTTTCTCTCATCTAATTGGGAAAATTTTCCATCATAACTTTTTCAAAGAGGTTCTCTATCCCTTGCTACTCTTCTCCTTCTGGTATCCCTATTATACGGATATTATTGCATTTCAGGTTGCCCTGCATTTCCCTAAATGCCTCTTTATTCCTTTTGAGTCTTTTTTCCATTTCTTGTTATTTTTGGGTGCTTCGTTCTACATTATCCTCCATCTCACTGATTCGATTCTTGGCTTCATCCAGCCTGCTTTTGATTCCTTCTACTGTGTTCTTCAATTCAGAAATGGTATTCTTCATATCCTCTTGTGTCTTCTTGATAGATTCTATGTCCTTTTCCATGTTGATATCTTTTGCTGTAAGGTCCTGATAATTTCTCTGCAGTTTCTCATAGTTCTCTTTGAGCTGGCTGAGCTCATTGAGATTCCTTAGAACCTTTTTTTTTTTTAATTCAATATCTGATAATTTCCTTGTCTCTATATCATTTAGCTCTCTCTGTGGGGAGTCCCCTTTTCCACTCATTTGTGGGGTACTTCTTTTTCTTCCCATTTTTGTGAGAGTCTGTTAAGTAATTTATTTATTTATTTATTTATTTTTGCTTCTGCTTCAACTGGGCCATCTTGATTTCCTGACTTTGTGGATTAAACTTCTATGGTAATTGGTGAGCCTTTTTATTTATTCATTCATTCATTCATTCATTCATTCATTTATTCATTTATTTATTCATTTTTTCCTTTATTTTTCTTTCTGTGTCTGCCTCTGATGATGTCAGTTGTTGACGCTATATGGCCTTGGGTCGTTTGTTTGAGCCTTCCAGGAGTCTACTGTCTGTGTCTGACTCCTGCCTTGAGCAACTCTGTGATCCCTTCGGGCAGGGATCCACCATTTCTCTGGATCACTCTGCACTCTCATGCCAGGTCCTTGAGAGCGCTTCCCTGCTCGGCAGGATTCCCCGCCCACCTGGGCTGTCATGTGGTTGCCCCAGCCTGGGGGCTTATTTGCCACCTTGCCTACTCGTTTGGCCCCCCAGGCCGGGGAGCACCCAAGCACTGGTCAGTTTACGGTCTTCTATTGTGTGGTTTCCCAGCTTTTGGCTCTTTGAAGACGTTGCCTGCCTTCCTCAAATGGAGACTATGGAAATGGGAGGAAGTCAGCTCCAGGACTCTCCGGTTGATCCTGTCTCCAGTCTCTCCTCCAGGGACTCTGGGCAGCTCTGTGACCCCTTTGGACCGGGATCCACTATTTCTGCAGACCACTCTGCACTCAGGGGCCTGTGCAGGTCGGTTTACGTCTGCCCTCACCCATCTGCACTCTCCCTAGCAGGCCCCATCAGTGCCAACCTGTGGGAGGCATTGCCAGCCCGCCCAAGCCCTCGCCAGCCTGCGCAGGTGCACACACACACTCGCCAACCCTCGCCGGCCACTAGGCACATGTGCACCTGCACTGGGTGGTTTTCGGCTGTCTATTGTGTGCTTTTCAGCTTTTGGCTCTTTGGCGGTGTGGCCTGTTCCTGTACATTGGAGACTACAGAAACCAGAAGGACTCGGGACTCCCCGGTTCCGCCTCCCATTCTTTCCCTAATGCCTCCATTTCCAGTCTCTCCTCAGGGGTCTCTGTTCAGTTCTGTGACCTCTTTGGCCAAGGATCCACTATTTGTGCAGACTGTGTTGCAATCATGGGCAGTCTGGTTCGTGTGCACCCTGCTTCTGCCTCTTTGGGGGCGCTCCCTGCCTGCCCAAACTGGAGGCTACGGAATGCGGAGGGAGTCGGAGCTCCCCATTTCTCCTCCCTTTCTTTCCCCAATGCCTCCATCTCCAGTATTTCCTCAAGGCTCTCAATGCAGCTGTGTGACCCCTTTGGCCAGGGATCCTCTATTTCTTCCAGCTTGTCTGCACTTAGTCCCCCAGCTCACACGAGCACAAGCTGTGTGTGGAGCACAGAAAAGGCAGGTTAATTGATTCCCTTATACCTGAGCGAGATGGTAGCTGCAGAGTGGGAAGTGCGTTATCACCGGAGCTCTGCTGGCCATCATCTCAGTTCTCTTCACAAAGTTTTCCTCACCAACCTTTTCCCAGGCACCGGCCCACCCAGAGATCAAGGAGGGCAGCTGCCACTGCAAATTTTTGCGTTGGCCCTTTAAATGTCTCTTTACATCCCCAGCCACCTGTCTCTGGCAGAGAGTGCCCCTATGCTTTTTGGGGTTGTGTTTTGTCTGTATTTTCCTGGTTTAGGCTGCTATAGTTTAGGGGTCCCTGTTTATGATTCAGACCCCATTCTTCTGGGGGGAGCTTACTGGCCGTTTCAATGTCCTTCTGGTGCTAGTGCCCGTGGGCACCCAGCCCACCCTCTCGAGCCTCCACCACACTTCTCACCTATTGGGATGTGAGAGAGTGGAATCCAGTGTCTATCTGCAGCTCCAAGGCTCCTCTCCCACTATTGTTCCAGTGTTTTCCAGGTGATTACTCCACTATTTAGTTGCAATTCCCATTTGGTCTTGGGAGGAGGTGGTCAGCGTGACTCCCATTCACTCCTCCGCCATCTTCCTCTCCTCTTCAGGATTTTCTTAAAATGTTAATAATTACATTGATATATAGGTATTAAGTCAGAGTTTTAAAGACTTGAACATAAAACCTGATTCTCCTTAGGAGACTTCGATAGTGGCAGAATTATTTTAACACAGCATTGTCCCCTTATGCAGAAATATTATCTTGTGAGAAATAAGAGAAAACTGTATGAACAGCAACTTTAGGAATTTTTACCACAGAATTGTTCTATTTTACCTAGGGCAATTTGGCTAATAATGGGAAAACAACTAAAATTTTAAGGTTTATTTATATCACTTTTTCAAAATAAGGAAATTCTGGATTAAGCCCAAAGCAGTCTGAACAGTGGTTAGAGGTAGAAAGGGATGGATAGCATTTGTGTGGATAATAGCTTGACTTCTTTTCAGCTCTGAAATTATTTTATTTTGTATGCTACATTGACCATTTCAAGTTGCCATGAAACTGCAATACTTCATCATGTAGGAAAGCAGAGCATCTTACTATAAATTTGCCCCAAAATCTCAAACACTCACCCAAACTTCTTATTTAGAATAAAAACACACCAAGAGACTTGAAGGAAAATTTTTCCTGCAGAAATTTCCTTAGAGGAAGGTGGGGAAAGAGACAGAGAGAGAGACAGAGAGACAGAGGGAGAGAAAGAAACTGATGTGAAAGAGAAACGCTGAAGAGTTGCCTTCTGTGTACTCCCCTGACTAGGGATCAAATCCCACAAACTCTCAAGCTAGTTATGTGCATTGACCAGCAGTACTACCTGCAACCTTTTAATGTATGGGACTACACTCCAACCAATTGAGCCACCTGGCTTGCACTTGGGCTTTTTGTTTACTGGTTACTATGGGAGGCCAGTGGTAGCTCCCAGCACTTCCTTTTTTTTTCCCCTGGAGAGCTGTTTAATTTTTTTTATTATTTTTTTATTGTCAAATACATTTGTCTCTATTTTCCCACCACCAATTACCCTGCCCTACCCAACCCTACCTCCCACCTTCAATCCTTCCCCATTTTGGTGTTGTCTATGGGTCCTTTATAGTTGTTCCTTGATTTGACCCTTCCCCTTCTTTTCCTCATTACCCACCTCCCTCCTTTCCTCTCCTTACTGTTGGTTTGTTTTTTTCTTTCAATATTGCTGGTAATATTTTCCTTGCTTTTTTGTTTTGTTGATTAGGTTCCACTTATAGGTGAGATCATATGGTATTTGTCTTTCACCCCCTGGCTTACTTCACTTATATCATAATGCTCTCCAGTTCTATCCATGCTGTCACAAAGGATAGTAGCTCTTTCTTTCTTTCTGCTGTGTAGTGTCCCATTCTATAAATGTACCATAGTTTTTTTGATCCACTCATTTACTGATGGGCACTTAGGTTGCTCCCAGCACTTGACTATTGTATATTGTGCTGCTATGAACATTGGGGTGCATAGGTTCTTTTGAGTTGGTATTTTTGGATTCTTAGGGTATAATCCCAGCAGTGGAATTGATTCTTAATACATTTAACTGTCTACCAGTCTTACTATATATCTTCTTATACAGATAGAAGTATTTAACAAGTGTTCCCTTAACACTGAAAACTGAATAGGCATGTAATTTTATAAACAGTACAAACCTTGAGCCTGTCACTGTCACCAAAAACAGAACTTAAAATCTTGGCTCTATGAGAATTAATCAGGTTATATTTTCTGAATGGAAAGAGTCTACATGAAAAATATCAAGAGATAGCAATGATACACTATACATACAAAAGCAATGGCTATGAAAAGCACTGTTACTAATTTATTTTTGACATTCCACAGAATCTTTGAGGGAAGAAAGACCAGTGACTGAGAGAAGATCCCAGTCATCACCTCCTTATTCTACAATTGATCAGAAGTTGCTGGTTGATGCCCATGTAGGTTTCCATCTTAACTCTTAATATATTTATATATCTTATGTTTTTTTTATTTTCAATTTTTGACTTGCATATTTTAACTTTACTTGAGGGAAATGTTAAAGTGTTTAGTTTTTAAGTTAATTTTTCAAAGACAGATTTTCACTGTTATGTGATTAAGCACAAGATGAAATCTAAAAATTAAATTTGAAATGGAAAAACATTTAATTAGCCATAAGATATTTTATTTTCACATTTTTGTGTCAGAACATATTCAATAAGTGATTATTAAAAAAAACTATTTTTAGAAACTGATCTCAAACTAAGGAATAGTGGCTAGATGCTCCATTTATTTTTCATATAAGTTCTTGTAAAATCAGGCAATGTGTAAAAATAAAAACATTATTGAAAAATAAAATTACCTCTGGTAGCAAAAATAAAAAGTCTTAAAATTCTTTGTGTAGTGCACTTTCAGATCATACCATTTTACTTTTGTAATTACTCCTACACTGCCACACACACACAATCCTTTTCAGGTTGTCCAGAGATTGTTTAAATGACACATAACATGTTTAAAGGTGAATTTATATTAATATGCTTTAAAGTGTTTTATTTCCTTTAAGACAACTTATGTTGTATAAAACTAGAGCTAAGAAATTAACATATCAATTTTAAGAGAGATGTGTTAATCCCAATGTCAGAGGATGAAACGAAAGGGAAAGGGGACTATATCTTCTATAGAGCATCAAATCATCTGCTCTGCTCTCTAGCACTACAAATAAAATGTGTATTGCTCAGAAGATAAGTACAGGTAATAAAAAAAAGTGAGTAAAACTTTCCCTGTGTGACCCAGAAAGGTCATTGAAGATCACAGCCTGAGGTTTGGGTTTTGGCATTTCATGGTCACAAAAAATGTATTAATCTATTGAGTAAACATCTTCATTTCAATTGAAAATATATTTTAAAATATTGTCAGCTTGGTAACATTCCAATCAAGAACAAAATGAAAGGGAACTAGAGACTACAGTAATCTTTCTTGTGCACACAGATTCCAGATGGATTTAAAGTAGGAAAAATATCATCCTCCATTTACTTGACAAATGACTAGGTAGGCTATAATGCAGTGAAATCTTCTTTAATTATTGGTTAATTCCTGCACCTTTCATTCAGCTACCTGAAGAAAGTGATGATTATGTTGAACTCTATAATGCTGGTACTGATACTGATGATGATGATGATTCAAATGATGTGTTTGAAGATACCTATAACCATGAAAATGGCCATGATGTCTTAGATAACCAGATTGGCTGGCTAATGATGTCAGTGAAAACCATGGTGATGAAAACAATGATGAAGCTGTTGATGACAAAGATAGTAATCATGATGGAGCTTGTAACTGGCAAAGGTAGGTTTTTCAGGATTACTTTAATTATGTTTTATAATTATGTTTTATAATTTATAATTATAAATTATAATTTATAATTATAAATTATAATTTATAATTATAAATTATAATTTATAATTTATAATTTATGTTTATAAACATAATGTTTTATGTTTATAATTTATAATAAATTATAAATTATAATTTATAATTTCAGGTGCAAAATTATTTGCACCTTTGGTGTACTTTCAAAATGTATTACTAAAAGGAGGAATTGTATTTGCATATTAGTAAATGGTTGGTTTTCAATGATATATTTTAAATTATTTTAATGAAAAAACTTAATTTTCAATTTTTGTATACTATATATTAGTATTCAAGTTTTGTTAGGTTCAGTAGAACTGGAATTTTCTGGGTGTCTCTGTTAACATTAATGCTACTAAATCATGCTACCTTGTAAAACTGCAATAAGTATGCAAAACAGGGTGACAAATTAGCATACTACTTAATAACTATAAAGCAAAGCTCTAGTATTTGCAAACAAATTATCTAAATTTGTTTAAAAATTATTTAAAACTTGGCTTTCACTTGACATTTTTTAGGCTGCAACTTAGTAACACAGCATTATTCTTGGATTTCTGAAAACTGCTGTAACTAAATTCAGTACACATTTCAATTTTATCTTTTTTATAAAGTAGCTGTCCAAAGTCATAATATTTAGTGAAATAGTATTTTTGGTATGCCACCATTTGTTTATTTTGTATATATATAGCTCCTCGTCCTGATCTAAACAGGTAGTGTGTCCTTATTTACATATGCTCAATGTTTGTATTTAATCTGCTTTCAAAGATTAGTTACTATAACATATTTTTACATTTTTGTAAAAGTAATTAACAGTAAGAGAGTTTTTTCTTTAAAATATTGAAATTCATATATTGTTTTGTTAAAATGTAAATGTTATTGGGGGATATACAAGATCAGGCACAAATAATATCCCCTTTCTATTACAGAATCTTTTATTACAAAGTCATAAGTATGTAATTCTGTAACATAACAATATCACACTCAACACACCATATGACATCCTAAGTGAAATGCTAGAATTGAAACTATAAATTATTACACCCATATTATTACCCTACAAACCACACTGAGGCAGGCATTACCTCTGCTGGACTGTGCATATCACAGAACAGACATTTTTTTTTTCTTTTCTCCAACTAAAACATCTACCAGGAATTCCATTGCCAAATAAATTTTCTTTTAGAATTATAATAGCTATATGTTTCTGATGTCTCATGCAAAAGATCATTGAGACATTTTGTTAAGCTCGATGTTCTTAACAACTAATTAAATGACTGTCTTAAGAAATGAGTTCTATATTACTGAACTTCCTGGTGGAAGTAGAATGATGAATGGTATCCTGTATCAAAGCAGTCAATACACATGTTAGAAAATCAAGGCATATGTTAATATTAGCATATATTGGATAGATCGCAAGAAGAATTGTTTAAATATGCTGTGGTTGAGCCAAGAATATGGGCTTGAAGTTGCTAATACATGAACTAGTCTATTGTTCAAGAAAAAAAATTCTTCTTCTAGCCCTGACCAGGTAGCTCAGTTGTTTAGAGCATTGTCCTGATGTGCCAATGTTGCAGATTTGATCCCTGGTCAGAGCACATACAAGAATCAACCAATGAATGCATAAATAAGTAGAACAACAAACCAACATTTTTCTCTCTCTTTTCCTCTTCCCCTCTCTCTCTAAAAATCAATAAATAAAATTAAAAAAAAACATGTTCTTGCTACCAACCTAACACATGTTCCTAATAAAGAATTAAAGTTCTCTTCCATCTGCCATCTAAATGCAGCCAGGGATGGTAGCTGTGATATTCATTCAGTATTTAAGATTGAAAGGACATAGAGACATTTTCCTTCTATATATACTACCAGTAATATTCACATAGAGCAAAAATGTGCCTAGAGATAGTACATATGTATAAGATATAACCTTATTATGTTTAATTTACTTTCAGGTGTGTTTTGTTAGGTCATTTTCACCCAATAATTAATTGTATCTTTTCATCAGGTCAAGCTATAACAGAAGTTGAAGCTGGAAACAAAATTGTAGAGATGGAGGTGATGGAGGAGGAGAAACCTGTAGCACCTATGGAAGCCAGAGAACCAGTAGAAGCCATATAGAATATGCAGTCAGTGGGGACAATGCAGCTATTGGAGATCATGAAGGAGACAGAGCCAATATAGGAAGCAGGGGAAGAGGCATAGAGGGTAATGGGGGTAGGTGTGTCAATGAAATCAATGAAGAGAGTGAAGCCCTTGAATTCAATGAAGGAGAAACTTGCTCAAAGAGAGATGGTCCAGGATTGGAGAGACCAGCATCACAGAACTTTGAACATCAATGGGAGGTAATGTACCATTTGAGAAGAAAAATGAATTCCTCTCCTTCTGAATGTGTTTCTTCAGATGATAGGTCACATTTCCAGCCATTCCACATATAGTTTATAAATTCGTATGCCAAAGCCTTCAACATTTTTAATTATAACTGTAGGTGGATCTTTGGTTCTTCTAATTTGGATGTTTCCTATTTTCTTCCAGGGACAAAAATACCTTCTTTATTTGCCTTTATTACTCAGATTACATGTTTGGAATAGTAATTTGGAATGTAACATAAATTTTTTCTAGAAAGTTTTTATTTAGTAAAATATACATAATTTTATTCCATTTTAACCATTTTTAACTATAGATTTCAGTGGAATTAAGTGCATTCACAATGTTGTACAACCATTACTAGTAATCATTTCTAAAAATTTTTATCACCCTAAAATTAATTAACTCTCCATTATCCCTCCCCCTAGTCCCTAGTAACCTCTACTTTTTTGTCTAGGTACTTTACATAAGCAGAACCATACAACAGTTGTTCTTCTCTGTCTGGCTTATTTCACTTAGCATAATATTTTCAAGGTTCATTCATGTTTTAGCTTGTGTCAGAATTTCTTCCCATTTCAAGGTTAAATAATGTGTCATAGTATGAATATATCACATTTTGTTTATCCATTAATTTGTACACGGACACTTGTTTTAAGCTTTTTGCTGTCATGAATAATGCTGCTGTAAAAATTGGTATACAGGTATCTGTTGTTGGAGTCCCTGTTTTCAATTCTTTGGACTAAATGGAATTCCTAGATGCATAACTGTTAGAGTGGAATTGCTAGATTCCATTTTAGTTTTTATAAGAAACTGTTAACACATACAATTAAAACTCAAGGAACAAACCGTGTTTACATAATGATTCATGAAATGTTTGTCATTCACAAAAGAGTAATTGACTTTATAAATAGGTTTAAAAATACTCAGATAATTTCATAGATGCTAGATAAATAGGAATTATCACAGAGATTTTCTAGAGCACATAATATTTGAACTAATTATTTTTTAAAGATTTTATTTATTTATTTTTAGAGAGAGGGAATTGGAGGGAGAAAGTGAGAGAAAGAAACATCAGTGTGTGCTTGCCTCTCATGCACCCCTACTGGGGACCTGGCCCACAACTTAAGCATGTGCCCTGACTGGGATTCGAACCAGTGACCATTTGGTTCACAGGCTCGCACTCAATCCAGTGAACCACACCAGCCTGGTCTGAACTAATTCTTGATAAATGTAAGATACTTGGATATCTGCAAACACAGATGAGATTCCAAAGAGAGGAATTATGCCTATCTAATTTCCCAGGCTATTATTGTTCTATCACACAGGTTGGCTTAGAAGATAAAATGGTCTTTCATGATTTAGTCCCCGTGTGCAAGCGGTTAACTTTGTCTATAAAGCTACCCCTCATCTCTTCTCTGCTTGGTGAACTAGTCATCCTTTATAATCCAACTCATATATCATCTTTGACTTCCCAAAACAGAATTGTGCCCTTCCTCTGTGCTTGCAAGAGTTTTGCCCATTATTTTATTTTAGTGCTTATGGCATTGTAATTTGGTTATTTGTTTACTTACTGTTCTGTCACACTAGATTGTTAACTTTTAAAATGTAGGAACTATATTTAATCCATCCTTGATTACTTTTCTTTACTTACTCACCCAATCCCAGTGCCCTAGGGCTTAGTTTATGATAGACACACAATAATTATGGAAAAAATCAATGAAGGAGGAAAACAAAGATAAAAGGCAGGAAGGAAACTCTTTAGATGGATTCCAATGAGAAAGCAGTATCAGTGTGAAAGCAACTATATCTGTCTCTGTCTGTCTGTCTGTCTACCTATCTTAATTAAAGACATTTAAACAGGATGTCCCAACATGGTTTTTGTAGCACCTCTTGGTATCTCCAGTTATCTCAAGGAATGTTTTTGATATTTACAGAGTGAATGGGTCTTATTTTCAGTTTAATTTAAAAGGACATGTTGCCATAGAACACTTTTGTGGTTTGGAAGGTCATAAAACTAAGCCTTTGAAAAGATAGCACAACTTTCTCAATGCCAAAAATACCTGTTTGGACACCAAGAAATGCTTATGAACAGACAGTCTTACCAAAAAGAGTTGGTGGGTTTTTCCGCAGGGTATAGCATTCTACTTAAATCTGTCACATTTTGTGTCTTTTATCCCTGAGTTTCTTCTCTGTAAATTAATCAAAGCTGGCTACATTTTCAGTGAAGCATATTCACACTCTTCAGTTTGTCTTGGTTGATTTTCCACCATTGGCTCTGCAATTTCACAAAGTGGAACTGATATTCCCCACAATGATGCTTTGAATTTTTTTCAAGTGGTTTTTGGGCATAGCATAGCTGAATGTAAGCTTTGGAATCAAATGAACTTTAACTTCAAACTCTGGTCTCCTTACTGATCTCTTTGTCTTTGAATACATTCTTTAATTTTGCTAAACTTTGATTTTTTTATAAGTAAAATAGAGATAATTATACTTCCTTTTTGGGTTATTGTATGGACCCACAATGATATGTAAATAAGATATCTGGCAGAGTACCTGTTACATAGTAAAAAGTCCACAAATGTAAGGTCCCCAAATTTTACAGCTAGGGACTTGAAGCTCCTTGAATTATTTTCTCTGACATCAATTGTCTCAACGTAGGTTATGTCTCTCTTTTTAGATACAATTGTTGTGTTCATCTGGTAAATGTGGATTTTATAAGGGTGCAGAATTATAGATGTTAACAAATATTACATTCTATTTTTCATTTTTTTAATTTATTTTTTTATTGTTCAAGTACAGGTGTCTCCATTTTCCCACCACCACTTCCCCTGCCCCACCCACCCCCACCTCCCACCCTCGATCTTTCCCCACTTTGGCTTTGTCCATGGGTCCTTTATATGTGTTCCTTGACGACCCTTTCCCTTCTTTTCCCCTGTTGTCCCTCTCTCTCCTCCCCTCTGGTTACTGTCAGTTTGATTTTTATTTCAATGTTACTGGTTATATTTTTCAAATGACCCAGAGACATAGTAATTCCTCTCACTGTTAAGCTCCTTAATAAAGTCGAAATTAATTTTCCATCTTTTAGGAGTCAGTTGGTGGAAGTGAGGCCTCAAACACCATTTCCTCAGGTGCTGAACCCACAGCACCTGGTGATGAGAATGACAGTATGGACATATCAGAGGCAATCACAGAATCAGGTTTTTCTGCTAGCTGCTCATCTTCTAACGCTCTGGGAAGACTGCAAATGCTGAGTTTGCCAGTGCCATCTGTAAGTGTGTTTAATATACTCTCCAAATGCCACAATCTGTTCACATATTAAATACAGTGTTTGACCTCTGATTCATGATCTGAAAATAATCAAATCATTGTGATATTCAGTTGACACAAATGCAAATGGATGTACTTTTAAAAATCTTCTAGTCACTGAGTCTTTATGACACCTAAATTTGAACTATGATTGAGAAATTGAGTCGCTCATCTGGATTTTTTCCGTCTAATCACAGTAACTTGAAGTACATATATATTCAGAAGTATATTTTAACTGTCATGATTTGTGTTATATGATTGTTTATGAGTCACAGAAATGATACCGCCATTAAAAAATAAAATACAAAGCCCTAGTTGGTGTGGCTCAATGAATTGAGCACTGGCCTGCAAACCAAAAGGTCGCGGGTTCAACTCCCAGTATAGGGCATATGCCTGGGTTGCAGGCCAGGTCCCCAGTAGAGGGCGTAGAAGATGCAACCACATATTAATGTTTCTCTTCCTCTCTTTCTCCCTCCCTTCCCTTCTCTAAAAATAAAAAAGTAAGTAAGTAAATAATACAATAATACAATAAAGATAAAGGAACTTTCCAAGGCTGTGTCTCATTTGTGGAAACACTCAGGCATATATGGTGTATACACAAGTAATTTCTATCAATATCTTCTTTTTACTTCTTCGCACTATATGCTGGATTAGTGGAAGTACCTGTGAAATCACTGAAGAAACCCTCTGAAGCCCATGTTAACCCACTATATGTCTCTTCTGCATATAAAATACCACTTATCCACGTGTATAAAAAGGAATTCACTTCTGAGATATGCTGTGGTTTTTTGCGGGGTGAGTTTGGTTTCTTAAAACTGAGCTGTTGGTCTTTTGATGATTATATTTTATCTATGTAATGAAGTTGTGAAAAATCATAACTATAAAACATTTGTTTGCTATTACCAAATTATTAACAAGGAAATAAAATATATTTATAGTAGTTAATTTGCTTTTTTTGCTATTTTTTTTACTGCATGTACTTTGATGTTTGAATTGGTGCTCCCTCCCTCCTTATTCTATTTTCTTTTGAACCTGAATTAACTGAGCTAAAATATAAAATTTAAGTAGGTTATGCAGGTTTTGTTAAAATATAAGCTTAGTTTTAATTTTAATTTAAGGGTGTGTGCAGCATATAATATTTAATGAAATATTATAAGAAAGATTTCTGCAGATTCATGTATTAAAATAACCTTGAGGATTTGTTAAAAAATTCATTCTTTGCCTATGATAAACTTTTTCAGTCCTTTGTTCCAGGGGAATGAATTATAACCATATTGGTAGTGCTGAGACAATATTTTATCTTGAGCCAGTGTGTATCATAAATGAAACAGAATAAATTAATAGAAGAAGGGGAGAAATCCAAAGTAAATGTCAATCTCCAATTTGCAATTTCATAGACTTTACTCAAGTCTGATTGAATAAATGACAACGTAAGCAGTATAATGGGAATTTTAGTTTTGTGGATTGAACAATTCAGGGAAAAACGTGTCATCCTCAAAGTTTTGCTAATGTAATGTGTCAGAATACAAAAAAGCCAAGTTTACTTCACTATCATTTCAGTAAGGCAAATACCCAGTTTGTGTCTAGTAACTCATTTTTATAACTTGTGAAAAAATATTTTGAAAAACAAAAGATAACAGTTAAAATTGACGACACTTCTTTCTCTCTCTCGAATTCCTCTATGGGAGGAAAATGCAGTTTGCAAATCTGTCACTGGCCTTGGCTTTACTTGGAGAACTGGTAAAGGACAGAGTGAAAAAATTAAGGCAAATGCCCTTGCCTTTACTTTTATACCATTGGAGCACAAATATTCTCCAAGTAGAAGGAAGACATTGAAGTACTCTCTCTTACATTACTTTGCTGATTTTCTCCTGTGTCTTAGGATATGTGTGAAAACTCCCACAGTGGTTTGAAATATATTCTAATTTTAGTTCAGTCTTCTATCTCAATCCTGTCATTCTGGGTTTTTATTTTCCATTTTAGTTAAATTTTATGTTTTTTTAAATATATATATGCATATATATTTTAATGCTGTTCAAGTACAGTTGTCTCTATTCTGGTCTTTTAAATAGTGCTTATATATGAGTGACTAAAGCCAGCAGACAAATAACAGTGTAGGAAATTAAATACATAAAGGTAGGAATTAATTTCATGGGCATTTAGAAATGTAAGTTTTTAAGTATATGCATAAAAAGAATCATTTGACTTTAAATCACTTTACATATAATTATTTTACAAACATTAAAACCCTTAGTTACAGGTAGGAATGAGAAAGCAAATAAATTGAAATCTTTGTAGGTGCTAGACATCCTTAATGTTTAATGTTAACTTTCAAAACGGTAGATTAATTTTTACAAAGTTTGGGATACAACTAAAGGGTGCTGATATATATTTATAAAATTGTATTTGTAAGATGGCACACTAGATACCAGCCAGTAGAATGTTGCCAGAAGGTATTATATTCTATATTTTTTATGTATTTCAATGCAATTTATTCTTTTGTTAGAGATGCTTTTGTTATACAGAATGAGTCTAACATTAACCTAAAATGATAAGTCACCTTTACATAAATGAGAACACTTGCATAGCAAAAATACTAATATAAAGTTGACTTTAAAAATGTAATCTAGCCCTGACTGGTGCAGCTCAGTGGTTTGGGTGTCACCCACAAATCAAAAGGTCACTTATTTGATTCCCAGTCAGGGTATATGCCTGGGTTGCAGTCCAGGTCCTCAGTTGTGGGTGTGTGAGAGGCAACCAATCAATATATCTCTTGCACTTCGATGTTTCTCTCCCCTCATTCCCCTCTTTTCCCCTCTCTCCAAAAATAAATAAATAAAATCTATAAAAAATGTAATCCAGCTAATAAAACTTTTCTTTTTATGTACAAACAGGAGTGAATTTGCTGTTGGGAACCCGACCTAATCTGTATTTTATGGACAGAAGCGGAAGGGCAGATATTACAAAATTTATAAAGCAAAGGCCATTCCATCAGATTCAAGTTGTAGAGCCACTCAATTTGCTGATTACCATCTCTGGTTTGTTTAATAACTAAAATTAGCTGAGTAATTATACAGATTAATTAGGTTGCAAACTGGGCTAAAGACTTTCTCAGGAGAAAGTGGTCATTGGAAAACACTTTAAATATCACATTTAATGGGGACATCAGACTTTGCAACTAATATTTTCTTACCTACTTACAATATAAAATAACTTCTGACTCTCCTTTGGGATCTGGATATTTGAGTGTAATTCACCTAACCTAGGTCAGTGATAAGAAAAGTCATGCCATATACATTCTTTTTTATTAAATCATTTTTATTGTTATTTTATTACAGTTGTCCCAATTTTACCCCCTTTGCCCTCCTCCACCCATCCCATACTCACCCTCCTCCCTCAGTCAATCCCCACACTCTTGTTCAAGTCTGTGGGTCATTCATACATATTCTTTGCCTAGTCCCTTCTCCTTCTTTGAACTATTATCCCTCTCCCCACTTCCCTCTGGTCACTTTCAGTCTCTTCCATGTTTCCATGACTGTGATTCCATTTTGGTCGTTATTTATTTTGTTCATTAGATTCTCTTATAGGTGAGATCATATGGTATTTGTCTTTCACCAACCTTTCAGGTCTTTTGTGAGTAACCACTTACTACTTCACAACTCACAATTTCACCCACCCATGCACACATGACAACACTAACATCCACTATATAACTTTCTTGTGATATATTCATAGCAACAAAGAATTAAGTAAATAGATAAAAATGAGACTGTGTTATCATAGGCCCTACAGATAGGGTTAATAACAAGAATGGATCTCCTAAGGACTCTCCCCTCTTCCCATAAAGTAGTTGAATTAGCTTTAGTCAGCCTTAGCCTGAAACTTTGAATATGAGAAAGTAAGTAAATGAATATTAGTAATGATTTGATTACTAAATATTAAGGAAAGCACTAGCATTAAAGCTGACTAGGCCAAAAGTGGCAGGCAAAAAGTTAGAAAAAAAATTTAAAAAGGCTTTGAGTATAGAATAAAATGATGCCAATCCTAGTCATTTATATATATTTACATATTTCTTGTCTATGCCTAATAACCATATTGCACATTAATTCATGTCTATCCCTAAATATGATTGACTTTGCTTTAAGTTTTGGTAAGAGAAGTAAATCTTCTATAGATATGCTAAAGCTTCACAATTTTTTTATCATGTTTTACAGTCATCCATTTATAATTACTTGAGGTACACAGAAGGAACATTCAGCTTTGAAAATATCTGGGTGGCTAGATAACAGAATTCTTTACCTTTTATCCAGTATCTTCTAACCCAAATGTGCCATTTTTGATACCTAAGATTCTCTCAAATGTGGATGATTTTTTTTTATCAAATAGTACTCAGAACATCAGTATACAAAGATACATAATAGTATATAGCACAAACTTATTTTACCATTTAATAGAATGGAAATAGACATAGATGTCTTAATTCTTACAATGCTTTTAAAAGTATCATGTAAAATATATTTACGGTTTATTTCAAAAGTAAGAATCATATTATTGAGCCTAGAAATATGGTAATCATGAATCCTAAAATAAATATAAAGTCACTATATATAAAAAGAAATGTGTAATTTCAGTGGCTGGGTTTTCCTGAAGGAACTATAAAAATTTAATGGGATTTGCAATTAGAAAACTAACATTGAAGATAAATTAGATTGAGAAAGAAATAATAAAACCTTTCAACTATTTTTTAGGTATGCTGAAATGAAAGAGCACAGAGAGATCCATCCCACTTTCCCTAAATGTGTAACAGTCAATACATTAGACATCCCTCTCATGCATATGTAATACCAGGGACAGGTTCTGGTCTCTGAATCCTAGAAGGGTCATGACTTAGAGAAAAGCCAAAGTACAAATGAATGGATGTTCATTCTTTTGCCTGCATGGTGGCCGTCTTAACCTGTCCCAAAATAGTTTACATTCACTTGAGATAGGCACATAGGTAGCTGGTGGACACTTTAATTATCATTTGAAAGTGAGAAACTTTGCTATAACATTTCCAAACTCTGAAGGGAAGACTGAGTCAGTGAAGTTTTTTTAAAGTACTTTTTTCCTTAATGAAAACATTAAGTTACAAAAGCAAATTGCCTTTATTTTTTGTTCTTCTAATATATGAAAAAAATGAATTGAAATACTGTATCTTTGTTTTCTATTTATCAGGCCATAAAAACAGACTTCGGATATATCATTTGACCTGGCTGAGGAATAAGATTTTGAATGATGATCCAGAAAGTAAAAGACAATAGGAAACACTAAAGACAGAGGAAGGCTGCAAAGCTATTGATAAGTTAACAGACTGTGAACACTTTAGTGTTCGTAAGTCACGTTTCATATTTACTGTGGGTATAAAAATTTTGCTTCCCTTTACTTGGTAAAATACATTGTTACAAAAGGCAGAGAAAGGGAAAAAGTTACAACTTCATATACAAAACTCAGTGAATTTCATCACAACATCTTCTAGGTCTTTTCTGCCACAGTTATTGCCATTACTGAGAAAATACTGAATGACTGAAATAGCTATTGAAATTAAATTTGGGTTACTTTCTCACCTTTCTTCCCTTCCCAGTCTCTTTAATTAGTCTAGATAAAATGGTACCATTTTCCTCTCTCTGTATAACTTCAACTATATAAGTACTTTGATGTATTTTCAATAACATGCAAGGACATTTATATGACACTGTCTTTCTTGAAACAGCAATAAAATAGAATCACATAATACTTCCTTTTATTTTTAATTGGCAAATCTCTCTTAATACTGATCAGAGAATCTTACAATGAGTCAAAATGAAAATTCTATGTCTGCTGGGTCTTGCTCCCACTGTTGAAATTCATTAATATAATTGCTAAATATATCCTATCTGATTAAAGTGTTTTCATATCCCCTGCCTATTCACAACCATCCACTGTGAAATGGAGTAACAACTCCAGGTTCTCAGAATCCTGCTCTCATCTGTCAACAATTAGGAAGTAATGTTATCCCAGTCCATTTTGTTTCTAAAGCAAATCTCTACTTTCAGCCTTAATTTTCTTCTTTCTTCTTCACTAATTGCCCCTTCAGGCAGAATTAGTGGCATAGATAAGAGACAACTGTAATCACAAACTACTCTATGACTTGGATCAGGATATTTATATTCTAACTGACCATTTCTATTCTGCATATAAAGAGGATTTCCCAGGAGAGATTTTCATGTGTGGGTACATATGTATACACGCAGCATTAAAGAGATAAATGAGTACCCAAATTAAGTATTAAGTAAATACATTACTTTTGTCTAGTTTTATGTATCTCTAATTTCTTTCACATCATAAAATTTAGTAGCCAGATGTGGATGATATCTCTAGATGTTAACCCAGGAGTTTATATAGCAGAACTGCTTCCTCCCAACCTGTAGATATTTTAGTTCAATAAGAGAGAGTTTACAAAGTTAATCAATCATCTTGCAAATCTGTGTTCTTGGTAGGTGGAAGGACTGGCTAAGGCTAGTTTTCCCCATTCCAACCCATCCCTGCTCTCATAACAAATTAAAACATTTTTCCTACTAACAGATGGAACAGTAGAATTTCTTTGCCTCTTCATGGATTGTTAATCATGCTTCTTTGACCATGTTGGGAACAGTGCAAATGAAAAAGAATGGATGAGCTGGAGTGGGGAGGGGAGAGAGACACTTTATATATTGGTCTCAGATGATGTCTGACTAGAGAGGACAAAAGTGATGTCAGTGCCAAGTAAGAGGAATTTTAGCACAAAGTATAAATCTAGAAAGTAGGACAACATATCCCATAAGACCCAAAAGGTCTAGCTGAGAACAAGCATATATTTTTCTATATTTGTCACTTAAAAAAAAAAAAGCTCTATTGAAGTAATTTAAATAGCATAGAATGTGCCCACTTAGAGGATTATGGTTCATCCTGGCCAGGTGGTTCAGCTGTTTGGAGCATCATCCAATACATCAAAAGATTGCGGGTTTGATCCCAGGTCAGGGCACATACTTACGTTCTGTCCCCAGTCAAGGCATGTACAGGAGACAACTGATTGGTGTTTTTCTCTCATATCAATCTATCTCACTCTCTTCTTCTTTTTATCTGCCCCTCCCTCTCTCTAAAAAAAAATCAAACAAAGCTTTGGATGAGGATTAAAATTTTTTTAAGAATACATTTCATTGGTTTTAGTATGTTTATAGAGTTGTATAACCATCACCATGATTTCATTTTCATCACCCACCCCCAAAAAAGCTTATAGCCATTAACTATCAACTATCATTCCACATTCAATCCCTGTTACATTTACATAATTTTCCTAACGATCCTAGGAAATGTCAACTGATGGCCCTTGACACCAGTTCAATGCCAACAGGAGTTCCTAATTTGGGATGTAGTTAAGGAGGAAACTTTCTTCAATGCAAAGAGCACAACTGTGGTACAGCATGGCTAGCACAGTTGCGCTATAGCTCAGTAATGCTACAGTTCAATTATGAAGCAACACAGCTGTGAAACAGCATGTCTGTAAGGAGGCCCTGTGGCAAGGCAGCCCTGGGGCAATGTGGCTACTGGGCTAGGTTCTTCACAAGCTAAACATATATGCTCTGCTCTGGTCTGGTCTTTTGTGTTTCAGATCCAGCAGGGGAAATGCAGTTTTTAGTCTTTCATGGAAAGGGAAGCTAACTTACATAGACAGAAGTCCCCACACCCTGTTCCTAATTCATCCATCCTCATACAAATTAGGACTCAAAATCCTAGCAGTTTGAGTGGCCCGAATGACACTTTCCTGATTGGTCAAATGCAGCCATTCTGATTGGTCGGTGAAAATGCTGATAGGGATATAGCTGCACAGCTCCAAATGAACAAGAAAAGCTTCAGTCTTATTCATTGAAATACAATTCTAAGAACTCCTTTATAAGGACTGGTTCAGGTGTCAGGAACACAATACAGGCAGGCAGTTCAGTGTAGGCTTCTCACTGAAGTGCAATTTGAGTGAGAGGCCTTTGTTTAAAAATAGCTGCTAGGCTCTGCTTTTCAGTTTGAGCACATTTAGCCACCAAGAGCCTTTCTTGGTAGGTATCTCTTTTTTTCAGGGTCAACATTAACCACTGATATTCTTTCTTTTGCTATAAATTTATCTCTTCTGGATAATTTTTAAAATTAATTCATATATCATGTGGCCTTTTTGTGAAAGACTTCTGTTACCTATATTTTCAAGGTTCATCCCTTCTGTAGCCTGTGCAACATCTATCAGTACTTCTTTTTATATTAAATAGTATTGCATTTTGTTATAGACATATCACCCCCTGTTTATTCTATTTTTATATATTCATTCTTTATACATTTGCACTTTCCACCTTTTGACTATTTTGAATAATTCTAGTATGAACATTTTCATACATACCTTTATACATAGGAATGCATGTTTTCTTTTTCTCTTGGATAGTACTTCCAGACAGTTTTTCAAAATGGCTGCACCATTTTACATTGCCATAAATATGAAGGCTCCATTTTCTTTTCATCCTTGTAAACGCTTGTAGTCTGTCTTTTGATTCTTCCATTCTAATGTGTGTAATGTTGCATCATTGTAGTTTTTGTTTCCTTGATGACTAATGTTATTGAGCATCTTTTTAAGTGTTTTCTGGTCATTTTTATATCTTTCTAGGGTTATTTGTCTTTTTATTGTTGAGTTGTAAGCAGTCTTTTTATATTCTATATACTAGATCCTTATCAGGTATATTACTTGCAAAGATTTCTTCCTATTCAATGGGTTGTTTTCTTTTACTTTCTTGACAGTGTCCTTCAATGCACAGAAGTTTCCATTTTGATGGAATTCAGTTTACCTATGTTTTTTCTTTTGTTGCTTATGCCATTGGTGTCAAATGTAAGAATCCATTGCCATGAAGACATTATTCTTATATTTACTTCTAAGAGCTTTATGGTTTTACCTCTTACAGTTATGTCTTTGATTGATTTTTAGTTCATTTTTATATACAAGGCCTGGCAAAAGTAAGTTTACAGTTGTGAGTATGTAAAACACAGAATTTATCATTGTATTATTATTTCTTAGTTATTGTAGTATTTCCTATACAAACAGCTCTAAACCTAGTTTTTATCCACCCTGTATGATGTAAGATAATTGATCCAACTTTACTATTTTGAATTCAAATATTCAGTTTTCCCATTACCATTTATTGAAAAGACTATTATTTTCCTATTGAATGATCTTGACATTATTGACCATAGATCTATGGGTTTGTTTGTAGATTCCCAGTAATACTCCATTAATCTATAAACCTATCTTTATGTCAGTACTACACTGTTTTGATTAGTTTAGCTTGCAGTAAGTTTTGAAATTGGGAAGTATGAGTTCTCAAACTTTGTCTTTTTCAAGGTTGTTTCAGTTATATGGGGCCTCTTCCAATTCCATGTGAATTTTAGAACCACAGTCTGATTTCAGCATAAAAGGTCATTGGTATTTCAAGAGAGATTGAATTGAATCTGTAGATCATTTTGGATATCAGTGCCCTTTTAACAATGCAAAGTCTACCCATCCATGCCCAATATTCTGTAGTTTGCAGTATACAATTTAGAGTGTTCTTGAAGGCTAATTCTCACACTCCATTAAATTAGACAATAATTTTCTTGTATTTGGGGACATCAAGTGGTATGAAAATAACTTTTCTAAAAACATATGATCTGTGCTCTTACATTGTGGTTTTGACATTTTCAATGACAAATAAAAATACTTGAGTGTTGTTGTAAACTCTGTAGCATTGTTACTTATTCATATTTTATCATTGTAGTCCAACATGAAGAAACAACATATACTGCAATTGTTTTGAAATCCTCAATTCACCTTTATGCATGGGCACCAAAGACCTATGCTGAAAGTACTGCTATTAAAGTGAATGGTTTCCTCTTGCATTTGATAATGTGTTTTTTTTTTTGAAAAATTGTATAGAGAAAAATGTTTTGAAATAAAGTAGCTGAAATATATACCATTTTTCTAGTTATTTTAATTTTAATATACCATGTCAATCATTATTATCTAATGTTTTCTAGACAGTTACCAAGCACCACAACAGGGGAAAGTGTGAGGGAAATCCTTGACCCTTTCATAGAGGTTCTCCCTACCAGCTCCTCACTCCCAATTTCTGTAGTCCACATACTTTTTCTCTAGAACCCCAGCATAGACTTTGAGTGCCACCCCAAGGACTTGAAACTGAGAAAGTCCCTGTTCAATTTTAGTGGGGAGCTGGAGAAAAAAAGGAAGATGAGGAAAGGTATAGCAAAGGTAGAGTGTGGAACCCAATAGTAGAGGGATGAAGGAACAGAAAGCCTTTAATTACCATGGCTACAATAGATGGGTGTGGGTAGGAAAATGTGGGTCTGTATTCCTTCCAAGCTGAAACTCTAAATACATTTATCTCTAGAACTATTGCAAGGAATGGTGGTTAGGCTCATTTGGATTGCCAGTACTTCTATCTTTATATGGTTTAACTGAACTGCTATGAATTATCATCTTAAGGTAACCATTTCGCACCCCAACAATTAAGTTGCTGATGAGTCGTTTAATCTACATTAAAACTTGAGACTCTTTTTACCAGTATTGCCCTTTTATAATGGCCTAGAATTCCACATAAAGGGGATTATTTTATACTTATTCCATAGTAATGAGAACTGATTAATGAACCAACAGCATTATATAGATTCTCAATCTGGGATGTGCATCAGAATCATCTGGGGCATTTGTTAAATATTTAGATCTGTAACCCAACCCCAGGACAATCATTAAGCCTAGGGTGGGGCCTGGGAATCTATTTATTTAGCAAATGTTCTAGATAATTTTGAACAAGTTGGTCCATTTACACTTTTTTTTTTCAAAATGCTGATAAAGACATATCATGATAGACCTCATCAAGATATTTATGAAATACTTTTGGATCTTAGGTCAGGATCTCTTTGCATGGTATATTTCATAGGCCAAAACATCACATATATACAATAAAGATAAGCTAATTTTTATTACTGGCCCCCAATGTCTATTTGCACAATAAACATATTCTTTTTATAAATAACACAGAATACTATAGAAACAGTCTGGGCCTGCCCTGACAAAATCATATTCCTAATCTGATCTCCCTAAATTGGGGCTTGGGTCAGCTGTTAGTATTTGGATGTGGGTTTGTTCCTGAGTGTCTGCTGATTGGTCAGAGCTGCCTGATATTGAGCTGGAAAGCAAAGTAGAGAAGTGCTCTCAGTCTGTCTAGTCTGATATACAGTTCTCAGTCCAAGTCTTCACTTCAGTTCTTGAATGCCACCTCATGACTACCATATGGTGAATCCTGTGATGCCCAGCCCTCCACTGTGACCTGAACTTGGTAATGAATCCTGCTTGGCTCTTTGTTTCCTTGAACTAGCTGCCATCGGAGTTTAGAACACATCCAGTCTATGTTAGGTTAACATGTCTGGCCTTTTTCGTCCTCTATCAAGTATGCATTGATCAATCAGCAGATTCTGAAGAAGGCTACATGTCCTATGAAGCCTATGTAAAAATACTGGCAAAAATGCAGGGAGCTGATCCAGTGAACCATTTTAAGAGACCAGATGAGCTCCTTCACTTGCAGAAGCTCAAGGCAAGGAATTTAAAGACAGCAAACAGGATGCAGGGTCATACAAGGCTCTTATGATTATTAGAGATTTGACCTTCAAAGGGAAACTTAATATTTAAGACCTAAATATAGCTATGTTCTTTTTGTAGTACCAGACCTAATAAAGGTTGCAATAGATAAGTTTCCAAATACATTATGTAATTTTTGACAGTCATCTGGGTTTACAAACCTGTTAAGCAAAGAACAGGAAATTTTTTGCCTTAGAGTGTCATTATTGGACTTTTGGTCATATTTGGTTTATATCTACAGGTATTTGCAACACTTGGTCATAAACCAGTGACAGTAGACTTGACTATTTGTTCTGAATAAATACTAAATATTTTCTTCAGCTGAAGAGATGGATATCACATCATTGATGCAGAATCTGAGGTTATGTCTGATATAACCCTGCCAAATAATATAAGATCCCTGGTAATTATTGTTTATGCCAATTTGAGTTTTCACAACAGTCAAAACTGTTTTTTTAAGTATGTTTATCAATATATATACTAGAACTGAGACCTAAAAGGTAAGTGTGCAGTGCCAGAAAGTAGTAATGGATAAACAAAAATTACTGATGATCTCATAGTACAGGCAACTGAGTCTGTTCCACAGACAAATACTGTTTACCAAGCACACTGTTTTCTTTGTTTGTTTGTTTTTAAGTGAAAATACATTACACTTAAAAATCAGGACTTCTGTTGTTGATAAACCAAAAACCTGACAACATCTGGCCAACATTAATATCTAACCACTATCAACTGGAACTGATTTGTGCCAGCTTCCATTTATATATGGGATATGCTATACAGTCTTTATCCATTCAACTTCATAAATTTAAAATAATTGGCACTGATAAGCCTATGAGTTTGCATCCCTTAATTTACTTCTTCTACAACTCAAGATTCTTTAAAAATACACCACCAGTATTGCAGCATTATTATGTGTATCTCTATTCTTTAACCATATTGTAGTACTTTAAATGTGATATACAGAAAATTATCATAAAAAGGTCTATTATAATATCAATTATAGTTACAATACTAGTTCAAAGATCCAGCATTTAAAAAGTTAATTCACCTCAAGTCTTAAATAATTATAAATAATGAAAATATAACATAACTAAGAAATGGGGGAGGAGAATTAAGATGGCGGAGGAGTGAGTGGAAGTCACACTGACCTCCTCCCCGGACCAACCTGGAATTACAAGTAAATTGTGGAGAAATCACCTGGAACAAACAACCGGACAATAGTGAGAGAGGAGGCTTGTAACCTCAGAGACAGAAGAATCAGCTTTTGCGCAATCTAACTGGAAAAGAGTGCGGTACAGAGCTAAGAAGGCGGGCGGGGTGCCTACGGGTGGCAGCACCAGAAAGATATTGAAAGGGCCAGTTGGATCCCCCTGAGAAGAGTGGGATCTAAACCAAAGCGAGAATCTTTACCCCACAGCACCAGAGCCCAAAAAGTACAGAGAAAAAAGCCAGCTGTGAAAAACGGCAGGGTTGCTCTCTGCCAGAGACAGGCAGCTGGAGATACAAAGAGCCCTCTATAGGGCCAATGCAAAATTTTTATTTGCAGCCATTTACCCTGGTCTCCGGCAAAGGTGGGGGCAGAGTCGGGTAGAGACTCATGATGAGACTGGGGAAGGAGGCTTTCAGGAGAGAACTGAGAAAGTAGCCAGCGGGATCTCAGTAGTGACTCATCCCCCATGAGGCAGCAGACATTTTGCTTAGGAAGAGACCACTCCCCCCTGAACAGCACCAGCATCAAAGGATCCCATTGCCGCACCCCAGGTGGGATTCCACTCTGCCCTGTGCTGTCTAAGCTGCCTGCTGAGTTCAGAGTGGCAGCCACAGACAATAGATCCCTGTCTAAAGGGGGCACAGAGAGGTCTGGTAACACCTGAGGAGAGACAGGGGACAGAGGTTTAGGGGAGAGAATGGAGAGAGTAGCTGACGGGATCCCAGGTCGGACTCCTCCCCCATGCGGCAGCAGCGTGAAAGGACCCAATAATTTTGCCCCCAGGAGGGACTCTGCTCTGCCCTGAATGGTCTAAGGTGCGCTGCTGAGTGCAGAGTGAACAGATTAACCGCTGGAGGAGACAGTCACAGACAGCAGGTTCCTGGAAGTCTCAAACAGATTGCCTAAGGTCAGACAGGGTCAACAGCTGACATCACCAGAGGCAGATCCAGAAGTAAAAACAGCAGTCTCCAACCACAGAAGTTCACACCTCAAAGTCAGGACATCAAAACAGATCAATTTAAGAATCAGAAGCAAAATAGAAGAGTCTCACAAATAATGGGAAAACAAAGAAATATGCCCCACTAGAAGGGAAAGGAGGAATCCCCAGAAACAGACCTAAATGAAGTAGAGGCAAGTCAACTGTCATATATTGAGTTCCAAACAACAGTTCTAAGGAAGTGAAAGAAGCTCAGTGAGCTCAAATAGAATTATAAAAAACTACAAGGAATCTATGAGGAACTTCCTGCAAACTATATCAGCATGAAAAAGGACATAGAAACTATCAATAAGAGACAAGAGGAAATGAAGAATACAAATTCTGAATTGAAGAACACAGTAGAAGGAATCAAAGCAGGCTAGATGATGCAAAGAATTGAATCAGCGAGCTGGAGGACAAGGTAGAAAAAAACTCCCAGAAACAGAAAGAAAATGAAAAAAAATACTCAAAAAGAATGAAGAGGCATTTAAAAAAATGCAGGACAATCTGAATTGTAATAATATCTGTATAATAAGGATACTGGAAGGAGAAGAGGGCGGGGAAGGGACAGAGAACCTGTTTGAAAAAGTCACGATGGAAAACTTTCCTCATTGGAGGAAAGAGTCACACAAGTTCAGGAAGCACAGAGGGTCCCATTCAAGAGGAACCCAATGAGGCCCATTCCAAGACACATCATCATTGAAATGGCAAATATCAAAGACAAACACAGAACCCTAAAGCAAGCAAGAGAGGAAGAGGTAGTAACATATAAGGGAGCCTCGATACAGCTAGAATCTGACTTCTCAACAGAAACACTGAAAGCCATAAGGGAGTAGCAAGAAATATTCCAAGTATTGAAAAGCAAAGGCCTGCAACCAAGACTGCTGGACCCAGCAAGATTCTCAACTGAAAGGGAAGGCAAAATAATGAGTTTCCAAGACAAAAGAAGGCTAAAAGAATACACCTCCACCAAACCAGCACTGCAAAATATGCTAAAAGGACTGCTTTAAGATGAAGAAAAACATTCTATGAATACACAGTTCCTTTCAGTTGCCAATACTTGATATTACCAATATTTTTAATACTCATTAATCTTATTGTGACAACGATGTTATTTTAATTGTTCCTTAACTATTTGTTGAAACTAAACCTGTTTTAGTATACTTCTTGCCTATTTCTATTATTTTTTTAAAGAAGCTTTAAATAACTTTTTGGTATTCTTTACCCCATGTATTGATTAAAGGTTTGTATAACTTTTTTCCCTGTAAAAAAAAGAAACAAAAAACTTATTAACCATGTTTTAAATGTGTTGCAAATAGTTTTCTATTCTATTCCCTGTCCTTTAACTTTTTTATATGTACAATACTATATAGTTAAATGTTTAATATAGTCATATTGTCAATATTTATAACTTCGGGGGTTGAACATTTTACTTCAGGTCATGAAAAATATTAGTTTGTATTTTCTCTGAAAGCTCCTTCGATTCTACATATTGATTTTTAACTCACCTGAATATTTCTTGTATAATGTGTGAAATAGGGCTCTGTATTTGTTTTATTTCAAATAATAGTGATCCATGTACCTTATTTGTGGAATAAGCCTTATTTTCCCCATTGATTTGACATATGAAGTTAATCATACATATATTAATCAGATATATATTTGTCTTTAGAATGTTCATTATATTTCATTGATCTACTTGATCATTTCTGTGCTGGTGTCATGTTGGTTTAATTGCTGAGATTTTATAAAGTTTTTAATTTTTAAAAATATTTTATAACTAACTTTGACATTTAAAAAATAAATAAAATCAACCTACAGTTAAAGAAATAGATGGCACTCTTACTTTTAGCGACAGCATGGATGGAAGTGGAGAATATTAAGCTAAGTAAAATAAGCCATTTGATGAAAGACTATTACCATATGATCTCACCTATAAGTGGACTCTATTCAACAAAATTAAATAATGAACAAAATAAAACTCAGGCATAGAAACATGGAGCAGACTGAAAATGATGTGAGGGGAGGAGGAAAGAGAACTATGGTAGAATGAAGAGGAAGGGACTAGACAAAGAACATGTATGAATGACCCATGGGCATGGACAACAAAGTGAGAATTGACTGTGGAAGTGGGGGATGGTGTTGGGATGCATGGAGGGGGAAAAGGGGGAAATTTAGACAACTGTAATAGAATAACATGATTTATAAATAAAAAAATAAGTTCTCATCAGAAAAAGTAAAATAAAAGAAATATAATTTTAAAAATTTAAAAAATAAGGAAATAGAAATGTGTAGTTGTAAAACTACTGTATACAACATTCATATAATTTTCTGGAAAACAATATAACAACTTACACACCATACAAAATATAATTCTGCTGTGTCTCAAATTTGTTGGTGGCAATGGTATTTTATATTTTTCCTAATGAATATTATATTTAAAAGAAAGGGCTATGCCAAATGAAATAGAGGAAAGTAAACTATCAGTTATTGAGTTCAAAACATGTTTGTAAGGAAGCTCAATGAGCTCATTGAGAATTACCCTAAACTACAGGTAAGCTACAAAGAATTTACTGAGAACTACATCAGCATGATAAATGACATAGAAATTAGCAAGAAGAGTAGGAGGAAATAAAGAACACAATTACCAAATTGAAGAACACAATAGAAGGAATCAAAATCAGGTTAGATTAAAAAGAGGATCAAATCAGTGAGCTGGAGGACACGTACAAAAAAAAATCCCAGATAGAGTAATAAAAGGAAAAAAGACTCAAAAAGAATGAAGAGGGGTTAAGGGAACTGCAGGACAACATGAAATGTAGTAATAGATATATAATAAAGATACCAGAAGGAGAACAAGAAAAGGAAGGGATGCAGAACCTCTTGGAAAAATTAATGATGGAAAACTTCTCTAATTTGAAGAGAGAAAAAGGCACACAAGTCCAGGAAGCACAGACGTCCCATTCAACAGGAACCCAATGAGGCCCACTCTAAGACATATCATCATTAAAAGGGCAAATATCAAAGACAAACAGAGAATCCTAAAGGCAGCAAGGGAGAAAGAGGTAGCAGCATCTAAGGGAGCCCCAATATGGCTAGCAGCTTACTTCTCAACAGAAACACTATAAGCCAGGAGGGAATGGCAAGAAATATTCCAAGAAATGAAAAGTGAAGGCCTGCAATCGAGACTTCTCCACCAGCAAGGCTCTCAGTAAAAATGGAAAGAGAAATAAGAAGATTCCCAGACAATACTAAAATTCTCAACAAAATATTGGCAAACCACCCGAGCAGCACATTAGAAGATCATACACTATGATCAAGTGAGACTCATACCAGGAATGTAAGCATTATATAATATTCACAAATCAGAAAACCAATACATCATGTAAACAAAAGGAAAGACAAAAATGACATGATCATATTACTAGATGCCTAAAAGCATTTGATAAGGTACAGTACCCACTTATGATAAAAGCTCTCAGCAACATGGGAGTAAAGTGGGTGTACATTTACATCATAAAGGCCATATATGAAAAACCTACAGACGACATAATACTCAATGGGCAAAAACTAAAAGCTTTCCCACTAAGATCAGGCACAAGACAAGGATGTCAGCTTTCACCACTTGTATTCAACATTATATTGGAAGTCCTAGCCACAACGATCAGACAAGAAAAAGAAATAAAAGCCATCCAAATTGGAAAGGAAGAAGTAAAACTGTCACTATTTGCAGATGACATGATAGGGTTCATTAGAAAACCTTATAGACTCCACCAAAAATCTACTAGAACTAATAAGTGAATTTGGCAAAACAGCAGGATACAAAGTCAATATTCAGAAATGGAAGGCATTTTCATACACCAGCAACAAAATATCAGAAACAAATCATGGAATAAACCCATTTGCTATAGCAACAAGAAAAATAAAGTAGCTAAGAATAAAACTAACCAAGGAGGTAAAAGACCTGTACTCAGAAAACTACACTACACTGAAGAAAAAAAATTAAGGAAGAGACAAATAAATGGAAGCATATATTGTGTTCATGGATTAGAATAATTAACATTATCAAAATTTCCATGCTACCTGAAGCAATTTATAGATTCAACGCAATCCTTATTAATATACCAAGGACATATTTCACAAACATGGAACAAATATTTCAAAAATGTATATGGAACCATAAACAACCCTGAATAGCCTCAGCAATTTTGAGAATGAAGAACAAAATAGGAGCGATCACAATACCTGATACCAAACTATAGTATAAGGCTACTGTATTCAAAACAGTCTTCTACTGGCTTAAGGACCAACTTATATATCAGTGGAACAGAATAGAGAGCCCAGAAATAAACCCATGTCTCTTGGTCAATTAATATTCAACAAAGGGGGCAGAAGCATAAAATGGAGTAAAAATAGCCTCTTCAACAAATGGTGTTGGGAGATCTGGACAGTTCCATGTACAAAAAACAAAAAGAAACTTGACCACCTACTTACACCATATACAAAAATAAACTCAAGGTGGATAAAATGCTTTAATATAAGTCTCAACATCACAAAAGTCCTAGAGGTGAACATAGGCAGGAAATTCTCAGATATCCCATGCAGCCATATTTTCACCGATATGTCACCTAGAGGAAGGGACATAAAGGAAAGAATAAACAATTGGGACTTCATCACATTAAAAAGCTTCTGCATGGTTAAAGAAAACATCAGCAAAATGAAAAGGGAGCCAAGCATATGGGAAAATATATTTGCCAATGATCACTGGACAAGGGTTTGATCTCCTAAATATATAAAGTACTAACACAGCTTCATACTAGGAATACAAACAATCCAAATTGAAGTAAAGAACAAACTGACAGTAACCAGAGGGGTCAGGAGAGGGGCATAATGGGGGGAATAAAGGGAAGGATCCTCAAAGAACATATATAAAGTACATAGACAACGCCTTAAGGGGATAGGATCTACGGTGAGCAGTGGTGATGGGAGGAGTAGGGGGAATTTTGGGAAGGGAAGAAATCGATAAAACTGTACTTGAACAGGAATATTTTTTTAATAGGCAAAGGACCTGAACAGACACTTCTCCAAGGAGAGCATACAGAAGGTGCAGAGACATATGAAAGGATGCTCAGCATGGCTAGCCATCAAAGAGACGCAAATTAAAATCACAACAAGATACCACTTCATACTAGTTAGAATGGCCATCATAAACAAATCAGCAAACAACAAGTGCTGACAAGGTTGTGGAAAAAAGGGAATCCTAATGCACTGTTGGTGGGAATGCAGACTGGTGCAGCCACTGTGGAAAACAGTATGGAATTTCCTCAAAAAATTAAAAATGAAACTGCCTTTTGACTTAGCAATTGCACTGCTGGGATTGTGCCCTAAGAATCCTGAAACAGCAATTCAAAGGATCCTATGTACCACAATGTTCATAGCAGCACAATTTACAATAGCCAAGTGCTGGTAACAGCCGAAGTGCCCATTAGTAAATGAATGGATCAAAAAACTATGGTACATTTACACAATGGAATACTATGCAGCAGAAAGCAAGAAAGAACTCCTATCCTTCACAACAGCATGGATGGAACTGGAAAGAAAGTATTATGCTAAGTGAAATAAACCACATGATGAAAGACAAATACCATATGATCTCACATATAAGTGGAACCTAATCAACAAAACCAACCCTTGAGCAAAACAGAAACAGAGGCATGGAAATAAAGAACAAACTGACAGTGACCAGAGGGAAGGGAGTAGTGGGATAACAGGAAAAAAGGGGAAGAGAAATCAAGAACATGTGAAAAGGACCCATCAACAAAGATAAGGGGGGGAGGATTTAATGTGGAAGTTGGTCTGTGAGTATGACAGGACAGGGGAGAGTAATGGCAGAGAAATGAGCGAAACTGTAATTGACCAACAATAGATATATATATTTTAAAACAGAAGGGCTGAACTAACAATCTGCTTCACCCTTTCTTAATTTCCCAGTTTATCAATAACTAGAATTTTGTCAGTTTAGTATTATACAAATGTTCAAGAGAAGGATTTTTTACTTTTAAATTACTGTAGTAATGTGATATGAACATTCATTGTTGTTTTGTATGTCTCTGACAAATTACATAAAGAATGATCAGATCATTAGTGAAGAAATTTTTTAAAATGTGATTATATTAACAATTTTAACTGATCACTCATTTGTCACCTAAGTTTATATAGAAATCACCCTATTTATTATGTGGAAAATACTAAACCAAGGCATACTAAAGTCACTCTGATATGCGTTCAAGTTCCTTTTGATATAAATATTATAATATATAATACTCTTCAGTTGGAGTATCTCTCATAGCTTACTGCAACTTATTTTTAAATGTCATATCAGCTTTATTTTGAAACTAGTGAAGTAGTGAACATTGCAGCATTGGTCCAAGTTTACACTTATTTAGAAAGGTGTTCAAGGAGATTAAACCCTGTGTTCCAATTAACTATTAGGGAAGGAGAATTGTTTCATTTTGCAGCAGCCAAGTAATTATTATGGAAGTAAGGAGAGAAGATGAGGGTTCTTTTTAATTTCTAACCTAGTTAAGATACCTTAAGTATATTTAAAAATAGTATTTTTAGTTAAACACCCTAGTGTCTTGACCTAGTAAGTGAAAGAGGCCTAATGTAAGTCAGAGTGTCTTCTGAAACAGCATGTACTAAAAATAATATTTGTTCAAGAGTGCTAGATTACAAAAGCTGTAATGCTATAAGGAAACCATCTATACTAAAGAATATCTGGTGACTCTAGGAACTAAGTGAGAATCAAGAGAATTACTAGGCTGCCTGGATTTACAGCTGTTCATCTTTATCTTAAAAAGATTTTTTTTGAGGCAGCCTTCATTCCTGCAATTTCTTTTTCTCTCTTCTTTCATCTCTTTTCTGATTAAATTGCTCATGCGTGTGCCCAGGGAACGCATAAAAATTGCTTTTCGCCTCTGGATCCCCATTTTAGTTTTAAGGATTGTGGTTGCTGAGACATGGCCTCAAGCACTTGGCCTGAGTACGCTGGGTTTGGCAAGTATAGTTTCTACTCTTTTCCCCTGTTACTTGCTAATTTGGAGAAATGATAGAGGAATGTAATTGTTTATTTCTCAGGGAAGTACTATAACATGACAATCTGTAGTTTAAACAAATTCTGTTGCATTGTTTTATGCATCATGAAATTTACAAATTCTTAGATATTCCTTAGTGTTTGATATTATGTCACCTAATACATCTCTTAATTTATGTATTGGTATTGATGGTATTTTAATATTTTATAGAGTGGATTTAAAATCTTACATTTTTGTGAAGGAAGGATGATTTATATTTCAAGCATCGAAGAACATTATAAACTTTCCCCTTGTAAACATTTTAAGCTTGAGCTATTTTTTAGTTAATTTTCTATTTTTGATTTGAATGAATTGGTCAATAACTAATGATTGTGTATTTGTTACTTAATTCACACATTCATTACTAAAGTATTTATTAATATGTGGAAATCCTACTCTGTAACAAATACTGATTCTTCTGTCATTATACATAATACTTTGTGAAATTTCCATGAATTTCTGGGTGCTGGAAATATATCTCTACTTTTATCAAATATTTCTCCTAAATATAAAGGAGAATATTAAGTAATGATGACTTTATGGCATAGGAAACCTCTTTTTCACTGTTGGATAGCATGCTGCTTAATGCTGAGATAAACGTTTTTCTTCTTCCCTGCATTTTGAATCCCCTTTTGCTGTTTACTGATCAACCAGTCTGCATCAATTAAAGTAATAGTATTATGTTTTGAACATATGAATCCTTATGAAACATAATTCCAGCCCATGGAAATCATTATACCACAGAATATCATCATTTTACCTGATTCCATGGGAATTGGCATGATGCTCACCTTCAATGTTGAAGCCCTTTCTACAGAAGCAAATGAACACCTCTTCAAGAAGATCCTTGAAGTGTGGAAAGACATACCATCTTCAGTAGGTATGCATAAAAATTTTCCCTTTCCACATGATCCCAAAAAATCTTCCATTTCCTGATGCATTACATGTTCTCAAAGCATATGGGGTTAATTTGTGATACTCCATAGTTGTTCCCCTAGAAAGATGATATGTGTTTATTCTATGCTTGATGAATCCACGTGGCCAACACAGAGAGACTGATTTTGGCTTACTTGTTCATTTGAAATCATCATATAATTAAAATAGGAAAGGAATTCTTTTTTACAATAATGTATAATTTTATTTTAACTCCCTTTGCTTGCATATTTTACACAGATATTAAAAATGCTTCACTCCATCACACTGATTTTGAGATTCACCTTTTTCTTCAGAGAGTGACAAATAGTCATAAAATAAGAGCAATATGTTTCTATTTCATACAGTCAGTAGAATTCTGTTTAGTGAGTAGTAGCCTTGTGAAGAATTAAATACAAGCTTAATATATGACATTTATGTTGTCACTAATATTTTATCATACTTCATTTATAAAAACGATAAATATGACTGACTAGAATGACTATAAGTTACCACCCACATAGCAAAGTGAAGAACACTACCTTTTCATCTTCATCCCCCTTACCAATGCAGGACTGCAGAACTGGGAAAAATTGAGACTCTTGTATATGTCTCTGAGCCTTGGTGACTACAGAGGTGATTCTAGATAAAGAACAAAACGCATGTGAACAGTAAAAATATTAGAGAGAGTAGAGTAGTTTGATGGAGCATAATTCCTGGGAGGAGAAGGAGTTTAATGAAGATAACAAAGAAGAATGGAGAGAGAGAGAAAGAGAAATAAAAAGTAGTTTTTAATAGAGAAGCCAGAAGCTTCTGAAATCTCTATTAAAGGACTAAATGTGATCCTCGTGGCAATAAGGATGAGTTTAAAAGAATTGCTTTTAAATGTACTTTTTTTTCATTATGGGATGGTGGCACTTTGCATTGTACCTGCAGAATCTTTTAGTTTTACATACATAGTGTTAAGGATTGAACTGAAAACCTCTTCGTATTTCTTCAAAAAGTTAAGAATTCACAGAGGATTTAAAACCATTTTAAGTGACTGGAGGTAAATGCTTACAATATATTTAATAGATTTGGGGCAGAAGAAACTGAAAATAATGAATCTATATCTAACTATTGCAGTGGTATCTTTTGATCAATTTATTAATCAGAAATTGGAATAAGAAAATTCAGTTCAAATGGGAAACTTAACAAACCCCTAGAAAAACAAAGCTGCTAGATAACCATAAGAATCCAAGGGATCTTAAAATACTACACAGCAGAAAGAACACAGGAGCTCCTACCCTTCTCAACAGCATGGATGGGACTGGAGAGCACTATGCAAAGTGAAATAAGTCAGGCGGTAAAAACCAAATGCCATATGATCTCACCTATTAGTGGAACCTAATCAACAAAACAAACAAGCAAGCAAAATACAACCAGGGACATTGAAATAAAGAACAAACTGACAGTGACCAGAGTGGGAGGGGGAGGGGATAACAGAAGAAAGGGAAGGGCCATCAAGCAACATGTATAAAGTACCCATGGACAAAACCAGAGGGGGTTAGGATTGAGGGTGGGAGGTGGGTATGGGTGGGTTGGGGGATGGTGGTGGGGGGAAAGAAGAGACAACTGTACTTAAACAGCAATAATAAAAAAGCCATCTGGTATAGCTCTTGTCCTTAGGACAACTTCTGACCTAAAACAAAAAAAAGATACTCTAGTCATTAATCTGAAAATCATCTTTTTTTTTCCATTTGAAAACCATTTTTTATAAGTAAAATAAATTATAGCACCATAAGAACATGACATTTTTGTTTAAGAGCATTTAGAAGGTATACTAAAGACTACAGTATAATACTGATGTTAAGGAAATAAATTACTCATTTTCCCAGTCTAAAAACAATTCCTTTGTTATTTAAAACTAACCTAGATCCAGATTTCCCCAACTTCTTACATTTTATTGAAATATATTAAAAGTGCCCTGGCTGGTGTGACTCAGTGGATTGAGTGTCAGCCTGCAAACGAAAGGGCCGCTGAATCGATTCCCAGTCAGGGCACATGGCTGGTTTGCGGGCCAGGTCCTCAGTAGGGGTAGCAGAGAGAAACACATTAATGTTTCTCTCCCTCGCTGTCTCCCTCCCTCCTGGTGTATAAAAATAAATAAATGAATACATAAATAAATAGGTAAATAAATAAATGTTTCAAAAAGAAATATATTAAATGTGTTCAGTAAAAAAACCATTTCTCTAGATGTTCAAAGTATTTATAGAAGCTTAACAATCACAGCAAATACCACTAAGCATTCCCACCCAAATAATTTGATTCCACCTCATAAATAGGCTAGCTCAGTAGCTAGGTTAAGTAGCAGATTAGTGTGTTTCAAAATTAAGTTAGAAATTATGTAATGCCATATGAAGTATGGACTTGATTCAACAAGAAACCTGTGCATTAAGTTTAGAAATTTTTGCTCTTTATCGTTCTTCACAAAAATTCAATTTTAATGGCATATTGATATAGGTGAGAAATTCAAAAACAGAAAGACAAAATCTATTACTTGTACCCATCACTCAGACTATGGATTCCCTTTACTTCCCTTATATTTGCAGTGATTTTAATTCTAGTCTAAAATTTGACATATAAAGTCTTCTTTTAGGAGAATATTGTCTCAATAAAATATTATTATAATTGAGTTAAATTTGTACATCAGTTTCTTATGCAGAAATATCTTTTATTATTAAAATACAGCTGTCTCCATTTTCCTCCCACCACTAACCCCTGCTCTACATATCTCCACCTCCCACTCTGGATCCTACATTGTTTGGCTATGTCCGTTTCCTTGATACATGTTCTTTGATGACCATTCCCCTTATTTCCTCCATTACCCCTCTCCCCCAACCCCTCTAGTTACAGTTTATTTTTTATTTCAGTGTTCCTGGTTCTATTTTACTCATTTGTCTGTTTTGTTGATTAGATTCCACTTATACTTGAGATCGTATGGTATTTGTCATTCACCACCTGGTTTATTTCACTTGCCATAATGCTCTCCAAATCAATCCATGCTGCTCCAAAGAGGAGGAGATTATTCTTTCTATCTGCTGCATAGCATTCCACTGGGTAAATGTACCACAGTTTTTTGATCTACTTATTTACCAATGGACACTAAGGTTGCTTCCAACACTTGGCTATTGATAATTGTGCTGCTAGGAACATTGGGGTGCACAGTTTCTTTTGTATGGGTGTTTCAGGACTTTTGGAGTATAATTCCAGCAGTGGAATTGTTGGGAAAAAAGGCAGCTCCATTTTTAGATTTCTGAGGAAATTCCATGCTGTTTTTCAAGGTGGCTGCATCAGTCTGCATTCCCTCAAAAATTGTAATAGGGTTGCCTTTTCTCCACAACGTTGCCAGCACTTGTTTGTTGATTTATTAATTATGGCCATTCTGACTGATGTGAAGTGGTATCTTGTGTGGTTTTAATTTGAATCTCTCTTATAGTTAGTGAGGCTAAATGTACCTTCATATGTTTCTGGACCCTCTGTATGTCCTCCTTGGAGAAGTGTCTGTTCAGGTCCTTTGCCAGTTTTTTAATTGGGTTGTTTGTCTTCCTGGAGTGAAATCATGTGAGTTCTTTATATACATAGTAGATCAAACTGTTGTGCAGAACTTGGCCAGGTGGTGCACAGGCCTGAGGGCTGAATACAGAATGAAAGTCACAGATTGCAGATCCCTGGCTAAAGGGGATGCAGAGTGGTCTACAGACACTTCAGGGGATATTGGAGATGGGGGTTTTGGGAGAAAACTGACACAGTAGATGGTGAGATCGTGGTGCTGACTCCTCAAACATACAGCAGCGGCCATCTTGCTCGGGGAGACCATGCCCCCTGAGCAGCAGCAGCAGCATGAAAGACACAATAACCCCGCCCAAAGGAGAGAATCTGCCACAACCTGTGGTGCCTAAGCCTGGCTGCTGAGTGCAGAGTGATTAGATTAACAATTGAAAGACACAGGAACAGAGAGTAGATTCCTAGTAGTCTCCAAAGACTGCCTAATATGAGGCAGGACCAACAGCTGAGATCATCAGAGGAAGCTCCAGAAAGAAAAAACTACAGCCTCCTACCAGAGAAGTTCACACCAAAAAGTCAGAAAGTCAAGACAAACCAGTATAAAAAGCAGAAATAAAAAAGAAGAGTCTCAGAAATAATGGGAAGATAAAGAAACAACCCCGAATCAAAGGTAAAGGAGGACTCCCCACAATGAGAACTAAGTGAAATAGAGGCAAGTAAACTATCAGATATTTAGTTCAAAACAATGGTTTTAAGAAATCTCAGTGAGTTAAGTAAGCACAAAGAGATTACCAAAAACTACAGAGAAACTAAGGGGTACTTACTGCAAAATATGTCAGCAAGAAAAATGACATAGAAAATGTCAATAGAGGAAAGAGGAAATGAAGAAAACAATTTCTGAATAGAAGAACACACTAGAAGCAATCAAAAGCGGGCTATATGAAGCAGAGGATCGAATCAGTGAGCTGGAGGACAAGGTAGAAAAAAGATCCCAGAAATAGCAAGACAATGAAAAAAGACTCAGGAAGAATGAAGAGACATTTAGGGAAATGCAGGACAACCTGAAATGTAATAATATCCATATAATAGGGTTACCAGAAGGAGAAGAAGAGGAGGAAGGGATAGAGAATCTCTTTGAAAAAGTAATGATGGAAACATTCTTAATTGGAGGAGATTAAAAGACACCCAGATCAGTAAGCACAGAGGGACCCTTTCAACAGGAACTCAATGGGGCCAACTCCAGGACACATCATCATTAAAATGGCGAATATCAAAGACAAAAAGAGAATCCTAAAGGCAGAAAGGGGGTAATAGGTATTAACATACAAGGGGATCCCAACAGTTTTAGCTGCTGACTTTTCAAGAGAAACACTACAAGCCAGAAGGGAGTGACAAGAAATATTCCAAGTAATGAAAAGCAAA